TCCTGTTGGTTCAAAAAGTCCCGGGGTTTCACAGTAATGGCCAGCAGGACAAGGTTCACAGTCCTGCTCAGACTGCGCTCCTGGTGTCTTCCTGTACACATACCCAAGTATTGAATCTTCAAATAATTCAATGCATTGTGCGTTCTTGAGAGATATTCAGGTAACGTTAGGTGTTTATTTGAAATACATAATTAATTTATTAATTAATTTAGTAATTTTTAGAACAAAACCTCCAGGGTCACCTCGCAGCCGACATTTGCTCACCTGATCGTCCCTACTGGGCAGGGTCTCGGGTCAGACGACCCCACGGGGCAGTAATGCCCCTTGGGGCAATCGTCTGGGTCATGCTCCCCAGTGCCACAGTACTTTCCAGCGGGACAGGGCTTGCAGTCGTTCGCGGACCTTCCCCCTGTACTTGGGTTGTATGTTCTGTGCGCAGAATGCAGGGGAGGGGGGGGGCCAGGGAGAAAACACGGAGAGATAACGGCCCATATAGCTTAGTGAGTGCTGCCATTGTGTAGAGTCAATTGCTTCATGCCAGCTGAGAAGAGTCCATCTCCATGTAGGACAGGTCCATTGGTTCTTACTGAGCCGGGCAGGCGACCTGATCAGCCTTGGATGATCCCGCAGGACAAAAGTGCCCCTGTGGATATACTCAGACATGCACACGGCGAGGAGGTGTGCAGCACAGTACACACGAGTAGGAGTAGGACACCTTTTGTACACAGCGAGGAGATGTGCAACGCGGAGCGAAGTCTCGTTAGCCTGCAGCCCACCTCTTTGCAGAAGCCAGTGCCTGCTTCAGATGTCGTGGCTTCTTCAGCATATGTCCCTGCCTTGGATATCATACAGTCCGAGACATCCGTGCGGCGCGGCAAAGGATTGTACGTTCCTCCTGGACAGGGGATTGCCTCCGAAGTTCCAGCGGGACAGTAATATCCTTTGGGGCATTCCTTGCTCTGCGAAAGATCAGCTGCGGAGAACACCACAGCACTTTGGCTCCTCAACAATAAGGAGACAGATGAGGGCTTCTAGTAGCAGGTAAACGGAGAAAGGGGGAGAATATATTGCCTAATAGCAGAAGTTTTAGTACTAGTAGTAGTACTAGTGGCAATAGGGATAGACAGTAGTGGTGGTGGTAGTAGCGGTGGCAGGATTAGTAGTAATAGTAATAATATATAGTAGTAGTAGTAGCAGCAGAAGCAGCAGGAGGGGATGAGACAGCCGTCGTGATTCCGTACACCACCCTTCTTTATCACACAGCATGCCGGCTCTGCAGCGATAAGTCGACAGCATGTCGTATGTGGTGACTTCTAGTGGGCAGTAGGAACCCTGAGACACAGAAGAGAAGCAGCGTATTTCTTTCAGGCTCTGTTAACATGATAGATTGAAGAGAATATCTAGATCTCTCTCCTTCATAGACCCCGCAGAAGTAACCACCGACTAAACCCCTAGCCCCCCACGATAGGCCCTAGACGGAAGGGGCTCGTCGGCTATGCCTGCTATGCGTTCAGCGGACTTGCCTTGGGGCACGGTATGCAGTCCTTCTCCCCTTCTTTTGAAGTATAGCCCTTCCCACAGGCAGTCCGCACTCCATCAACGCAGCTATAGCCCGAGGGGCACCTCCTACACATTGAGGGGTGGGTTCCTGGGCCGGGGAACTTTGTGCCGTAGCCATCACTGTATGTGCCTAAGTGCACAAGGCATAAAGAGGATTAAGAAGAAGAGTGAAAGGAGGCAAAGAACTAAGGATACGCAGCTTTGCCGCACTCAGAGTCCCCAAACACCACTGCATGCGTATACATTACTGTGCGCCTCTGAAGCACCGAATGCTCAGAGATGAGTCACCTTCAGGGCAGGCTTCAGGCGCAGCGCAGCCTTGAGGGCAGTACTTTCCTGCTGGGCAGGGCAGGCACTGGACGATGTCCTGTAAGCATTTGAACATGGAAAGAAGTGGGTAGATATATATCTATGAAAAAAAAATATTTTCACAACACTTTTTTCCCACATGAAAACAAAACACAATTTGCTTACTTTCGCCATCAGGGAGGAATTGTATGTGCCCCCTGGGCACGCGGTCGGGGACTCTGCCCGCCTAGGGCAGTAATGCCCCCTGGGACATTGTATCTGTTCTGCTGAACCTTTAGGACAGTAGTAGCCCGGGAGACAAGTCATGCACTCTCCAGCATTAGCCAGCCCCACACCACTGGAGTAAGTTCCCGGGTCGCACGGCCTTTCCCTTTTATATTCCGTGCCTAAAGGGTATATCACAGACGCAGCGAATGTAGAACACTGGAGCTGATGTGGTATTTGTTGAAAGAATGCCAAGATATCGTATCCTTCCGTTTTTCTTTTGGGGGCAAACTAACCTGTAGGACAGTAGTGACCTTTAGGGCACCTGCTATAACTATTTTCCGTGCTGTTGCAACTCTGAATAGAACAGCAGCGGCACACCAACGATACTAAGGAGGCTTGCGAAACACCGTAGGCACCCCAGACAACCCCAGCAGTGCTACCTTTGAACGCGCAGGCCCAGTAAGTGACCGGCAGCAGTTAGGAGTGCGCATGCAGTGCATGCATGCGTAGAATGCAATCCATGCAAAATCTAGGTGGCTGCAAGAATTGATACTTGAAAAAACCCTGTGTTGTACATTGGCTGGTGGTTGTCTCCGTCGTTGTCTGGGAATCGAACCCNGATACTTGAAAAAACCCTGTGTTGTACATTGGCTGGTGGTTGTCTCCGTCGTTGTCTGGGAATCGAACCCGGAACCTTTCGCCGCAAGGGAAGAAAGGTTCCGAGCACACGTTGCATGCAAGTACGCTGTGTGACCTCTTGAGATAGAGGCAGCTGCTATCAGAAGAACATAAAGTAATACACAAACATAACTCACTAAGCGTGAAGGGCATGGAATGCAGTGTACGCTGGATGTCCCCAGCGGCATCATAGAAACGTGTGCGATCGGACACGGGAGCTTATTCCCCTTCCAGCTGATGGGAAAGTATGTCCTGCTTCTGAGAACCACAAGAAACGCAGCAGTAGACCTAGCAACGTCATTATCTCCCCCTCGTAGAGAGAAGCCTAACCCTAAACCCTACACCCTAAACACCAGAGCCTACCCCCTGAAGTGAACTATGGACAAGGCTCAATGAGAGGCGGGGCAAGCAACAGTGGAGAGTCGCTGGTCACGCGTTGTAGGGAACAGCATNACAAGGCTCAATGAGAGGCGGGGCAAGCAACAGTGGAGAGTCGCTGGTCACGCGTTGTAGGGAACAGCATGATAGAAACAAATGCACCTCGCCAGCACAAATGTAAACGCAAACAATACACAAGTGTAAATCAAAGGAACCAATCAACCATAAAGTTTTGCTTTGCGGCGCACCTCCTCCGGGTCGGCAGCCACTCGCCTTCTATTGTCGGCATGAAACCTGGAGGGAAGGCGATGCATGAATCAATGGAGATGGCTCCGTCTGTCCTGCTGTAGGTTCCCAGGGGGCACGGTATTGCGGGTTGATCTGACGACGGGCAGTAGTGTCCTGGGGGGCAGGTGATGCAGGCCGACGGGTCGCTTGTAGCTGCACGGAAAGCCGTAAAGAGAGCGAGCTCTCTAAGAACTTCTTCTTTCAGTTGTATCTATTTCTGCTTCTGTTTCTCGTGTTTTGACTCAGGTTATTTTACCCACACTACGTTCTTTCTAGGACCACCAAGACGGTGTACGTGCATGCTTAGTTCCTTGCAGCTCCCCTATATATGCAAGGGAGCCACAACACCGCTTTCCCCTCAGCAGCTCGGTGAATATGTGACAAAGTGCAGTATACTGCAGGCTGCATGGCTGCTAAAGAGAGGATCACTTGTTTTTCAGCCAGAAATCAATGAAACTCAGTGAAACTCAAATTCAATTTGAAATTCAAATTCTGAATTCAAGGCAAAACGGCGGAGGAACTGGTCGCTCTCTGGACGTACAGTGGGTATTCGGAACACCTCTTACGGTTCCTGGGGGGCATTTGAACTTCGGCGTTGACCCCCCCTGACATATCTCGTCTGCTGCGCAGTGCTCGAGAGTAGAGGACCCTTCTGGGCAGTATGTACCACGGGGGCATGGTACTGCACTGTGAGCAGACATTAGAAGAGTCTCCATGCTGAAGTAACCTGAAGCGAAACATGCAGGGACAAGGCCACCGCTATCTAGAGGTCAATGCTCAAAACTCTGGAAGGGTCTCACCCTCCTCGTATAGCTGCTGGCCCCGCTGTAACGGAGAACGGAAACCGAAGCAGCTCGCGCGATGATAACGGCATGCTGACGGCGTGTGTGTGCTTAGCATTGAAGAACAATGCATGCAACCGTGTAGATATAACTACGTATATATGACAGATTACACATATAAACGTGTATAGCATATATGTATTATATATATACATATATACATGCACGTAAATATGTATACGTTTACACTGCTTTCCTAATAGTTGCTCACCCGCATCGAGCGGCAAAGATGCTGTAGCCCCGGGAGGACAGATTTTGCCTTTGGGGCAAGTGAAGCATCTGCTAGTTCCGCAGTATCCAAGGGGGAGATAAGGGAAACAACCTGTTCCTTGGTTGTAACGGCCTGTTGGGCACTGTGAGTCAGCGCGGGGGGCGGTGCTGCGTGAAATTCACAGAAATGAAGGGAGAGCCATGACACCAAAACAATGCACTCTAAGCGCCAAGCAGTATCTCAGCATCAACAAAAACATGCATATATGCAACAACAT